GGGTTGGGGGGTGGAGTCTCTACTGGACAATCCGATAGGCATTTGCTGATGGAATCGGCGACTAGTTGCTTCCAGCCCTGCTCTGGCTGTGTCAGCCTGGCTGGCGCATCCCGAGGAGACGGGACGAATGCCAGAACCGTTGAGAGCAATTCCTCAGAGGCATTGTCCTCTCTTGAAACCACGAATGGGGCTTGATCCCAAGGCACAGGGGAGAGCGTACGAACATCAGAACGGCCACACTGGGTCCATCCAGCTCGGTGTCCTGCCTGCCCACAGAGGCCAATGCCAGGTGCCCCAGAGGGAGTGAACAGAGCAGGGAATTATCAAGCGATCCCTCCCCTGTCACCAATTTGCAGTTTCTGACAAACGGAGGCTGGGGACACCATTCCTCCCCATCCTGGCTAATAGCTATTAATGGACCTCACCTCCCGGAATGTATCTAGCTCTTATTTTAACCCTGTTAACGTCATGGCCTTCACAGCCTCCTCCAGCAAGGAGTTCCACAGGAGAAGAGAAGGAGGAATTCATAGACGCCATAGAGCTGGAAGAGACCTCAGGAGGTCATCACATCCAGCCCCCTGCTCTAGGCAATCAACCCAACCAGGGCTTTGTCAAGCAGGCTTGTATTCTGGGGCTGGACTCCTAAACACAGCCTGTGCCAGCGTGTCGGCTGGTAGTTTAGCGCAGCTCAGAAACAAGATCAGGGTTTTATTTGCATTTTTGCTGTTACCCGCGGTGCAGTGATGGGGTAGATATTGAGTTGCCGTCTATGCACTGTAGAAAATAGCCCCAGGGAACTCAGCTGCAGTTGCAATAGGACAGGGGCGTCCAAACTTTTTTCAGAGGGCCAGATTTGATGAAGTGAACATGCGTGAGGGCCGACCATTTTGCCTGACATTCTTTGAACCATTAAAATTAAATGCAAATTAACTATTTTATGCAAAGTTTATTGCAAACGGCATACTTTTCATTTCGTCACATGGATGACAAATCTAAACAGGTGTTAAATCACTCTGCCTTTCATATCTGAAGGCCAGATGAAAAAAAAATCCAGGAAGCTGAAATATATGTCAGGAACATTGTAAAGTACATTACATATTATTGGTAATAAAGGTTGTCTGTCAACTTTTAAGTTCAAAAAATATGAACAGGAACATAACACCAAGTATACATGTTGTGTCCAAATATATTTATAACTGATTTAGACCAACTGACATTAACTGAGATTTTACAATGTATTCATCTCAATACATATGGATTCGTTGGGGGCCATAAAAGATAGATATTGCCAAATTACCTGTGGGGCCGTATTAAACCGGAACACGGGCCGGACTTTGGACATGCCTGCAATAGGATCATTCCATTGCCTTACTCACTCCAAACTAGGAAGGCCAGTAACTCAGGGTGAGGTCTCAGAGGAGGGAGCCGTGTTAGTCTGCAACCGAGAGAAACTTAAACGACAGCGAGCGGCCCCGCAGCACCTTAGAGACAAAGAAACCACGTCGTTGGTCTCATGAGCATTTGTGGGCACAGCCCACTTCCTCCGATGAATGGAGCAAGGGGTCCAGAGTAGCAAATGAATAGCAGAAAGAGAGGGGAGAAGGGGGCGGAAAGAGAGAAAGAAACCTTGTCAATTAAAGGGGCCGTGCTGAACGAGGCTAATAGAGCGGGCTGTAAGGGGGGTGTGGTGTTAGCTGGTGGCCTTAACCACGAGAAACCTAACTCCACTGGGTGCTTCCCCATCACACACAGGCTGTATCTACTCTGGTGGGTTCTTGCGCAAGAACCCGCAGACCGTCCACACTACCCGCCCGCTCTTGCGCAAGAAGATTTACAGTACGGCGTGGTAAGAGAGGGCTTCTTGCGCAAGAGCTACGCTCTTTTTTTTTCACTAGTGTAAGCCTTCTTGCGCCACAGCTCTTGTGCAAGAAGGCAATGCGGACATGCGGCAGGTGTTTCTTGTGCAAGAAAGCCCTGTAGCTAAAATGGCCATCCGAGCTTTCTTGTGCAAGAGAGCGTCCACACGGCCGTGGATGCTCTTGCGTGAAAGCACATCTCGCACGTGGCAGTGTGGACGTGTTCTTGTGCAAGACTTCTGGCACAAGAACCCTTGCTCAAGATGTTCTTGTGCAAGAACCCGCCAGTGTAGACATAGCCAGAGTTTTTCTTTCCTTTTTCAAGGAAAAGGAAGAATGTCCCAGAGCAGACGGGAGAAGAGAAGGAGAAGAAACCAAGAGCAGGGGCTCTGACCAGCCCGTGGGAGGAAGCCCAGCGAAAGGACCAGGTAGGAGGGAGTTGGCCTTTCAAGCAAGAAGCGACGGTCTGTCTGCTTTTATAAAAGAAGCTTCTGCTCTTTGCCTACTCATCTGTCTGGGAAAGGTTGTTTCTCCCAGACTGTGTTTTCAGCTGTCAGACCTTGAGCATGTCACTTAGTGGCTCCGTGCCTCAGTTTCTCTTCTGCAGCAGGGGGTGTCTGCCCTGTCTCGTGGGGCACCGTGAGGGTTGGGAGTCCGTACAGGTGCTTTCAATCTGTTGGTTTTTTCAGCTTTAGAATGTGGCAGGGAGCATTAAACGATGGACTCAAAAACTCACTCTCCCTGCTGTGGGAGGGAGCGTGGCTTAGTGGTTAGAGCAGGGGACTTGGAGGATCCCGGGTTCTGTCTCTGACCCGGCAGTGTGATTTTGGTGAGGGTGACAGCCGGGAGCTGGGTGTTCTGAGTCTGTTGGCGTCAGCTGGAGCAGCGGGGTTTCAAACTTTTTTTCCTCATGACCTAGCTGAAGAAAATCATTGATGCCGCGACCCAACATCATTTGACTGGAGTGGGGGCTCCTTGGGGCTGAGGATGGAGCTTTGGGGTGCAGGAGGGGGCTCTGGCTTGGGGGAGGGGTCAGAGCTGGGACAGGAGGGGGTTGATTGGCTCCCGGGCAGCGGGGAGGGGGGAGCAGGGGCTAAGGCAGCTTCCTGCCTCTCCTGCGCCCCAGAAGCAGCCCACAGCAGGTTCCCAGCCAATAGAAGTGTGGGGCTGGGGCAGTGCGTGGAGTCCTGTGCGCTTCCCCCACCTAGAAGTTGGGCCTGCTTCTGGGGTGCAGCGCGGTCTGTGCTGCCAGGACAGGCAGGGAGCTGCCTTAGCCCCCCAACTAGTCACTTGACCCCCTTCTGTAACGAGCCCCGGTGCCGCCATTCCACCCGCCAGTGCTGGGTCACGACCCGTCGTTTGGAACCCGCGGCCTAGAGTTTTGGGTGCACAGCGCTTCTGGGAAGTGGGCCCTGAGCTAGCGGGGCTCAGTTCCCTTCTCTGTAAAATGGGGATAAAGCTTCAAGCCAGCCGGGCTAAGACTTTGCATTACTTCTGGAGAGGGCTTGGAGACTCTCCACACTCGGGCCTTTCTCTCCAGGGCCGCCTTGTGCCCCTCCATCGACGGATCAGTTGTAAGGCCAGAAGAGACCCTGGCGATCCCCTCGTCCTTCCTGTTGGCGCGGGAGCCGATCTCTTCGAACCCCTGCCAATCTGGATCAAAAATGTGCCCGGGATGTGGGTACTTAGAGCCTGTAAACACCCCTCCCCCTTAGCCTGCTCCTTGACGAGCTGAATAGCCGGGACCCCTCCCGTAGTCTGGAGGGAGAACATTGCCCCTCTGTTCTGCCTCTCTTTGCGGGGAAGCGGCCGCTGCCCTTCCCCACCGGGTGCTGTTTCCGTGCTGTTGCTTCCGACATGTAGCCCCCGGCGCTGAAAGAGAAAAAGAAGCAGCCGCGAGCCAAGGAGAAGCCGCTTCAAGAAAACGTCATCAGCAGGTAACTTTTGTCTTTTAATTCACTTGCCGGGACATCCTCCGGGAGGGAGGGGGAGATGGAGCAACTGGAACAGGGGAGTGCAAGCTGCTGGCCCGGTGTGGTCCTGTGTGTGGACGGGGCGCCCCTCCCCCTCCACCTCTCGCACAGTGAGGGGTCGGGGGAGGGGGCAGCGAAGGGATGTGCGGGCCTCAGTTTACCCACTTCACCATTTCAATCCTGTGGCCCACTGGGCGGAGGGAGGGCCCACTCCCTTGCCTCGGTGGCCCGTTAGAGCCGCAGAACGGCGCGTTTGCTCTCCGGTCTGGACCCGGTCCCGTCCTCTTCACCCCCTGCCGTTCCAGTGCCTGAGGTCTAACCTATCAGTTCCCAGACTGTGGGTCGGGACCCCAAAGTGGCCATCGGGGCTGGTGTTAGACTTGCAGGGGCAGGACTCAAGTGACAGGCCAGAAGCCTTTGGCTTTGGGGCCTCCCACCTGGTGGCCGGGCTCAGGCGTGTTCCCCCCCCCGTCCCCCTCCCGGGTCCTGCAGTAATGTTTGCTGTCAGAAGGGGGTTGAGCTGCCCCGTCGTCTGAGAACCGCTGGTGTCAAGCGTTGCTTTCTCTGGAGCAGAAGACTGCGAGCTGTGCTGAATGTTACGGTGGATTCCGGGATGCGAATGACTTTTCCACTGGGGCTAGGCTGGAACCCGTGTCATTGCTGCTGGATCTTAGCTGGATTGGAGCCCTCCGACATTGGGGGGGATGCCAGCTTTTCCCCCTCCTTGTGTCAAGGAGCGACCAGCCCTGCTCCCCAAGCCCTGCCAGAAAACGTCCCGTCCTGTGGCTAACGGCAGGGGTAGTTCTCCTGAGAAATGTGCGGATTAGTGATGAGAGGCGGGGTCACCAAATGAAATGAATGGGCAGCAGGTTGAAAACAAACCAAAGGAAGTTTTTCTTCACACAGCGCACAGTCAACCTGTGGAACTCCTCGCCAGAGGATGTGGTGAAGGCTAGAACTTTAACAGGGTTCAAAAAAGAGCTAGATAGATTCAGGAAGGTTAGGTCCATCAATGGCTATTAGCCAGGATGGGTAGGAATGGTGTCCCTAGCCTCTGTTTCTCTGGAAGTGGGTGACAGGAGAGGGATCACGTGAGGATTCCCTGTTGTGTTCCCTCCCTCTGGGGCATCTGGCATTGGCCACTGTGGGCAGACAGGACACTGGGCTAGATGGACCTTTGGTCTGACCCAGTCTGGCCGTTCTTATGTTTCTTTTGAAGAGGATGTTAGCCCGGCTCCGGAGGGTCCTAAACTTTAATGTGGTGAATGAGCAGAAAAGCTGATAGATCAGCGATGGGCAACCCAGGCTAGCGAGGGGGCCTTCTTCATTCCCGTGGGCCGCAAGATTGTCACAACCGAGACGATCTCCCGGGATGGGGTCGTTCTGCTCGCGGCGCTGGCGTAGCTAGAACGTGCGGGGTGGGCCGATGGCACCGCGACACAGAGGGAGTGCTCGGCTCTCCCAAACAGTGCTGTGTGCAGCCAGCGCCCACCTCCCCTCATGTGCCCTGGCTTCACCTGCGTGTCGTTTTCGTAACACCGGGAGGAAAAACACGACAAGCCTGCGGAATCTGGCAGCCCTGCCTCTGGGCGTCGGTAAACACAACGTCTCGCAGGCTCCCGATGGGCCGCAAGGTGGCTCACCTCGCGCTAGATCTTTGGGGAGAGAACAGAAATGGGTTTTGCTGCCTCGTTGGTTCACGCGTTTTTGCAGCCGGGCCAGCCGGGCACGCCCGTTTTCCTGTCATTCTGTCTGTCGGTTTTTGCTAAGAAGCTCTCTCAAGCAAGAGGCGGCTGAGAATGAGGCCTCTCGCCAAAAGTTGGAAGCCGCGTCGAAAGCTCCGGAAGAGGAAAAGGCCAAGGAAAGGCAGGTACGTCTCAAAGGCTTTGGGAACCCCGCGCCGGCTGCGATCCCTTCCCCTCCTCCTGACTCTTAACCCGGCTCTAGAGAGACCCTCAGCGTGAGAGTGAGGGGCGAAGCGCGATGTTCCCAACGCAAAGCTGGCAGCAGCCGGAGGACAGTGTGTTTATACACACGCACACAAGGGCGGCCCGTCCATATAGGCGAACTAGGCGGTCACCTAGGGGGCCAAGTTAAATGGGGCACCAAATGGTGGTGCAGTATCATCGAGGGGTTTGGAGGTGGGGGTGCCGATTGCATGGTTCGCCTACAGCGCCAGTCGCTGGCAGCTAGTCTAGGGCCGCCCCTGCACGCACAGAGCGCCCACAATGCACTAGGGATGGAGTACGTCACATGAAGGGCATGGAGTCGCGTCCCCCAGAGCTGTGGTCTTGGCGGAGTGTATGGGTTTAGCAGGGTGAGGCCGAGAACTGGTCTGTGCTCAGAGGGAGACTTGCATGGAAAATCCAGGAAGTCAAGGATAAGAAGCAATGGGCTTAAACTGCAGCAGGGGGGGTTTAGATTGGATACAAGGAAAAACTTCCTACCTGTCAGGGTGGTTAAACACTTGGGCTGTGTCTAGACTGGCAAGTTTTTCCGCAAAAGCA